GACCCGCGTTTGGTTTGAATTAAAGATTCATCGCAGTGCAGCAAATAACTAAATGGGAAGATATGAGTCCCTTTGAAGAGCGTGCAAATCAAATTTGGGTGATAATTAGCAGCAGACAATGGAAACCTACTGTTTATTTGCACAGAACCTGACATTTCTGAACTGCCCCTTGAACAGACACACAGACAGTTGAGTATGCTGCTTTCCATTCCCATAGCTCCACTTTCCTCTCTACTTTTCTTTTTGTTCCTAAGTTTTTCCTAAGTCCACTGCTATTGCCATCTTTTTCAGTAAAGGAGGGAAAGCAAGACCCAAGTAAATATCCTCTTTCAACTGTTCTAAAAACAAACAAACAAACAAACAAACAAACAAAAAAAACCCTGACCTTTAACTACTTATGTCTGCTGCTTCTTCTCCTCCTCTCTATACACGTAAGAAAACTGGGTTTCAGGTCACATACTTCCTTTCGACTGCAGCACAGAAAAGTACAACTGTATTTGCCTACAAAATTTGGAGGCTTCTTTAACCTGGTCTCACCATCCGTAGCATGGTTAATTCCAACCTTCAGTCTTGCATTCTTTCAGTGACTGCACCATGGTATCAGAGTTGCGAGAGCTGAACTGCCAAAAAACGGCTATTAGCACCTTCTATTCTGAAAGAGCATGGCAGATAGCTAGATAGATAAATAAATAAATCCAAGTCTTCCCTGTCAACAATCATCTTGCCCTGATATCCACATTAATATTTATTTCTACTGACAGCCAGGTAAGAAAGAAAACACCTTAACCTCTTGGGATAGATGCTAAACACACACTCAGGCAAGTAGCAGGGGGCCGTCTTAGCTAACTAGTCTACAAATTCGAGATGAATTCCCCCCCAAATTACTACGACTCATTTAGAGAAAATGAGAGCACAGATAAACCATTACAATTATTTGTATGATCATCTATGATCACAACAGCTCTGATATAAAATGAGCCATCTCTGACAGAAGACTACTGCAGAAACAGTTGAAAGAGTCTTTAAGCTACAGGTTTTTGAGGATGCTTAGTTACTTAGGGGCTTGAAATTTGACTGCCAAAGGACAAAACAATAGCAAATCAGCGTAGGGCAGGCTTCCCTTTGGGCTTAGACAAATCAAATGCAGTGTAAGTCAACTTTAAAAAGAACAGGTCTTCAACTCCCTCGGAAACAGCTGAAATTTAGGTCTCAGACTGTCTGTCACAGAATTCAAACTGCCCTCCTCATCAGGAAAGAGTAACATTCTTAGAAACTGAATATTAAATATTACAGGTGTCATAAGGTTGTGCATGTCTCCATTGAACGCTCAGAATTTACCTTTTATGGAAGCTCTCTTTTTTATCAGTAGGGAAAGTTTAGCCTCACAGGAAAAGAGAAAAAACAGCACAGTAACAAGCAGACTGCACATCTTCTTCACCTCTTGTATGGAGTATTATCAATGATGATCACTCCGTATCACTAAAACACTTGCAATCCCACAATATTTTAGTCTACTCACAATTTTTAGTAACCTGTTCTTGCTCAATTTAAAACCAGACCTTGCAGACTTGCAAACCTTGGAGCCTATTCTCCTTCAGGTTCATCTGAATTTCTTCCTTTGTGCATAAAGGTTTCCGAGTCCCTCCTTCCTGAGCACTCAGTGTTTAACCCTTCACAGACACAGACTTATTATTTGCTCCTGCTAATAAGGGCCTTCCAAATCCCGTTCCCTAATTAATTTTACCTTGAAAGCAAGGTGACACAGAATTGGTCAACCTAAGCAATATTAACCACGTGCATTTGTATTGTTTGCCTTTTATTGGTATATCAGGTACACCTAGCAATATCAAGCTGTGAGATGTACTAAAGCAGGTTTCTGACTTTGTTCTGCTGCTCGCTTAAAGGATATGCGTAACACACACATCATTCACGGTATATTTTAAAACAATAAATAAAAAAAAATAAAAGATCCATTCAGAAATTAAAATATATACATTTAGTTTCTGCGTATTATTGCATTTCAGAATAAGACTTTGGAAGGAGAAGTTCTAAAGAGAAGTGCAATCAGCTTCAAATTGAACTGAATTAAAAACAGATTATTCAAATTCAGTAATAGTGCAGCAATATTAATTATATTGTTTACATCACTTAGAGAACCCAAGAGGCAAGTGAAAACAGTTTATATATATATATATATTTTTTTTGTCAGTGCTGGCCCAGTGGCTGAATGCTGCAATGTAAGAAAAGCAACTAAATACCCATATTTAGAATATTATCCCCTTGAGCTCAAAACAATAATCGCTGAAGCCAGACTGGGCCAAATTCTCTGTCACTTTCTCTCTTTTTGTGTAGGCAAACAAGTGCACGCTGCATGCAGCTCGCTTCAAGCTGCCTGACTCATGAGCAAATGGAACTCATTCACAGAAATAACAATAGCATAATCTGTGATTGCACTTTCAGAAGCTATTTGAATAGTTTAAAAAGCAGGTACCTTTTTCCAGTGTCTCTTATGTGCCATCTGAGAATTTCAAAAGGCTGTACGCTTCAAGTTTCTCTGAAGGAACCGCCATAGCTTGAAGCCAAGGAGAATCCAATTGCTGAGATGAAGCACCAGGCTGTGCTGACGTAGCTCAAGAATGACATATTTTAATGATCTCAACCCCACGCTGTTCCAATTATGCTTCACAATTTGTAATTTCAGAATTTCACTTGAACTGAATGCTGAGCATTTCATGACAGTAATCCAGACAAGATTTTATCCTCATATAATCGTTGGCTATTTTAGCATTTAGTTTGTATCATTTTGGCCACTGTACCACTTAGCACTTGCAAGGATTTCTTACCGTAATTTGTGCATGGTTTCACATCTCAGCATGAACATTTGAAGTCAAAGTTCACAGAAGAAAATAAAGCTCCGTATTTTCAGAACTATGCAGCAATTATTAAACACATATAATGTTTAGAGGAAAACAATTAGCAGTTTGATTATATGAAAACATTTCCTAAAATCGACACCCAAAATAACTTGATTAATTATATCCTGCTGTCCACTTGCATGCTGAGATGTTCACCGTTGTAGACTCTGAAAGTCCTTGCATCACTTTCTACCCAAGGGCATAAAGTAAATTTCATTGATTTGTTTGTTTAACGGAGTATTAACCATCATAACCTTTAACTGAAAATCATTTTTTCCACTGATTTCATTGGACTGGGGATCAGGTCCTAACTGCCAGATTTCTAGAAAGGCCTGTCAGAGGTCTACACCACTTCTATCTTAGTGGTGTCCAGAGACAGTGACAAGACTGTAACAGGAAATTAATTAGAATGAAACATCAGTATCTGAATGAGTTGCAATATTGATAAATAAGTGACAGTGAGTAATTCATATACCCAGGAGTTCAGCACAATTCTGAAAATTTGGCATGACTGCACTATGTAATGATGTAGACTATGCTATGCAGACATAAAAGCTAGCTGAAACATTAAAGCTGTCTAGACATACCAGCACGGACTAATCTTGCTTCTCCTTCAAAGCACTGAATTATAAGATTGCTGTCATTTCATTAATTTAATATAGTTACAAGAATTTACCTCAAATTCAAACACCTCCTTTTCTACGCATTTCTTCAAAAAAAAGAAAAAAAAGAATTAAAAAAAAAAAGGAAAGAAAAAAAAAGAAAAAAAACAATCTTGCAGTATAAAAGCAGTAGCGAAGAAGACAGAGCACTACACTCCAGACAACTAATAATCTGCAGAAATGATGGCACACACCTAAACAACAGCCAGGATGCAAGGCCAAGCTCAGAGTATTCTCAAGAGGAGCCTTAAATTCTGACTTAGCTTGTTTCTGTATTTGTAAAACACATTTCCCCCATAAATTGTGTCTTACCTTAACTCTGAAAAAGATAAAACAGGGTTTTATGCTACGCATACAACGAGGGCTTTTTTTTTTCTTGTAAATCAAAAATACTGCTTCAATGGGACACTTTATGTATCCTTTATCTTTTTCTTCCATACTACAGCAAGATTACTCAAGTTTGCTTGTTTAACTGTTGCAACTGGTTGTTATGGATAATTGTTTCATTTTCCAATTTCCACTACAATAACTAGCTGCAAGACTAGCAGCACAGAATGACAGGTGCATATAAACAAATATTGAGTATACCCATCACTAATTTGAAATCTGCATACAGTTCCATCAGTGCATTACAGATAATGTTCAATCTCTGCCTGACCCTGCTTACTTTATTTTCTGCATTGACTTCCTTTAACCAAAATGACAGCTGATCCCCAAGACAAAGACAATTTCTTGCATTTCTTGAAGCTGTTTCACAAACATGTTGTTGTGAGAACTCCAAGCAACAACATGTACAATTTTAAAGGGAGAAGTCAAAGGCTTACATAAAAAATAAATAAAATAAAATCCTAAAGAGGAGAGGAATTTCTCTAAGCTTTAAAATTACTTACATACCTGCTCTGTATCCTCAAAATGAAAGATGTTCAGACTTTCTTAAACAAGCTACGTGTTAACTTGCATGCCCAGATCTTGAGATATTCTGCCCTGAAGACTGGAATAAACTCAGGCAGCCCCTTCCTCCCTCAAAATGCTATTAAAAGGTGATTAAAAAATATACCACCTTCACGTAACAAAAAGATATTCTGTAGTGAATACAGCTACATAGTAAGCTGCACATCCAATGTTTCACAGCCCAGCACGCACCTGGTAAGCCTACCGGGAGATGCTAAAGAGGAAAAAAAAAAAAGCAAGATACTTAGCCATCCTAAACCAAACAGATTAAAATAACATATAGCTGATTTTATTCATTTTGTTATTGACTGAACCCATGTGAGAAGCATTCAAAATGCAAGTTTATTTTGTCTCATTGACAAAATAACTGAATACTAACCATAAAGACTGCTACCTTTCAACACTGCAGGCCCTATTCCAAGATGAGAGGCAGTGCACTTCAGCAATCCTTCGTTTTCATAGCCTCCGAAAATAAAGTGTTGAAGTTCCACGCATAAGAGCTTTACTAGATCAGAATCTCAGCATGCTTTCTGAAAAATTCAATCATAGCAAGAAAAAGTTCATCACCCCTATAAAAGCAGGAGGAAGCATTACATCATCAGCAACCGAAATGTCTTCTCACAGCCAAAAGGAAGGAATGGGAAATACCACAAACACTGCTATCTGCAGCCAAATGTAACTGGCACTACTCTGAAACCTGCAGCCTGGACGAGATGGCTGGCTGACAAACATAAACCTCTCTTTCTTCCATCTCTCTGAGGTATCAGAAGACGATGCCTCTATTTTGTGAAAGCATACCAGAGAAGGAGAGTGTCTCTCAGCACCCTCAGCGTGGTAAGCTTTCTAATGACAACGTAGCTGGGCCACTGTCAATCATGTTATTTTGCACTCCTGTGTGTAGTTACACCACCACATGAACCAAGCCTTAATAGCACATGTTCAAAAGTTTCATAAAGAGTAATGGAAGTTGGCCTATTAAATATTTTATAATACATCAGAATTTTTTAAAAAAATAAAAAATAAATAAAAAAAAGCACAGGAGTAGGAACATTTTGCAACCACGTTACTTAAATTTTAGAACAACCCACTTTTGGTAATGTAAATATTCAACTTGGGTAAATCAAGACAATCACAGATGCACATTTTTCCCAAATCTTTGGCTGTATTGCAATGGTTGTTTCAATTTGTAATCTCCAACTAAACATTTCCTATCCATGGATTAACAATATATTTACTGACTTGTGTCTTTTAACAGTATTTATCCAACATAACAAAATAAACTGCAATTTGTTATACTTTTTTTTTTTTACAAAACATTTTATAAATATTTTTACAAAATGTATACAAAGCAATTTCAAGTGAGACATACTTTACAAATGAAGGTATTTAAGCAAATAAAGTCCATACCACACTGACAATAAGTGACACATCCTCTTTAAGTGAAGTCAGTCTGTAAGGCCTCCCTAATCTAACAGATAAATTATACTAAAATCTTCAAAATGAACATATTTTTCTTAATTGCCAGTTCAAAATTTGTTTTAATATTAGGCAGTATTAAATAACATTGAAATCACAATGCTGATCCAGCAAAATAATGAAAACATGTTTAAAGTCATGCACATTCACAATACTTTGCTGGACTTGATTCCATATGATTAATTTATACTTTTTTTCTTTCAAACACAACAAAAAATACATTTCTTTCATTTACTGCTTCACCACGTACCAGAATTCCTTTAGAACTGAATTCAAAGGAGTAAACAACAGAACATGAACAATTCAACATTTATCTTGCTAGGACTGTTCACCTGGGTTCCTTTCGCAAGTAGTTCAGAGAAATGTGTCTGACCAAATCAACAGTGATTGCTTTTTTTGTAATTTGTCATTTTTAATATCCATTGTCCCCCATCCCCAAGTAAGATCCAATAGAAGACACATAGCCTGATACGTCTATTATATATTTGCTGTACAGATGCTGTACCCATTCTGAGGTGGTACAAAAATCAAGTGAATCCATGAATGTGCAACTTTTTTTTTTCCTATAGAAGAAAAAATTAACTAGTTAACATACAGCTGTGTAACTTCCTTCCTAGATAGTTTAGAATGGTTCAATTTCCAAAAATCATAACACAAACGCATCGTGATACACAGCCATAAACATATTATTAAATCTAAAAAGGCAATAGGTGAAGACTATATTGTCAGTTTTGCCAATAAGAAAACAACTAACTGCCTGAGAGTCTATTCTATGGACACCTAACTAAAAATTTAAAACTGGCAATACTTATTACTTTGAATATCTTCTACAACACTTGGGAATGTTGGGATTTTACAAACATGTACTTTAAAATTGGCACAATCTTTTTTAAATGGCAATTAGTAACATACAAAAAACAGTATCTCCATTCACTTTGAAGGGAAAATGAATTTTAAACAAGTTCATCTTTCTCATGTTGCTTTCTAGATTTGGTTTCCTTTAGTGGTCAGACAGTGGACTGTAGCTCAATACTGAGTTGCACTGTGATCTACTATCGCAAGGATCTAATTCTGCTTTCTTTTGCACTATTCAGATGCACTGAGTTACATGATAGCAAAACTCTACCTTTTGTTTTCTTTCCTGGCAATCTAACTGACAACCACAGTTTGTCACGATGAGCCTCTAGATTATGAAAACTGTCATTAGTAAGTCTGGAGAATGGCTGGTTTCTCTAAGAAATTTCTAAGAAATCTCTAAGAAATTTCTCTAAGAAATTGTGGGGAAGGTCTGGGGGAGAATATAAGCATACCTTAGAAATCACAAAAGCTATATCCTCCTGAGCAGACATATGTACTACATGCACGTGACTAACGTCAGCGTACTTATGTGCACAAAAGCACTCATGACCAAAGTAAACTCGGATAAAGCAGCATGGGCAGCAAAAAGAAAGATGGCATAGATTAAAATAAATAAATAAAATAATAAGATTCTATCTTATCAACATGACAGTGAGCCAAATACAAACCATGCAATGGTTTCACTTGGCTCTACAATAGGAGTTAATAATTACACACTTTTAGATATGTTTTAACAATGGGATTGCTGATCGACTTTGGTCTGTACATATCTTGATAATTATGACTGCTACAGTGGATGATTTTAACATTCTCTGACAGAAAAAAGCAAAAAAAAAAAAACAACAAACAAACAAAAATAAACACTGGCCTTTAAGTTTCATCAGAGTAAGGCTAATGTCCTCTTAAAATATAAGCTACAAATATCATAACAGTTCTCAAATAAAAGTGCTTTTGACACTTGGTCTTAAAAAAAACAGCAACAAAAAAAAAAGAAAAACCAACAAATAAAAAAAAACATTTATACCACTTCAGAAAGACTCAAGGCTGACTACATCCAATTATAAAATGCAAAATCTCTTCCTCAAGAGTTAACATATATATGTATTATATATATAAATTCATGGCTCTATCATGGCCTCATCCTGTACACTTTGCCATTCATTGGCTTCCATTCTACCTTCCTTAGTCAAGCATTTATTACTTCATATCATGCCACTGTGACTAAGATCATATAATATCATCCCACAGACTAAACTTACCCACTACAAATATATCGAGTACTAGTTTCTGCTCAGAAAGCAATAGAAAAGCACTTTAAGTTTAAATTATGAAGCCTTGTAAACACACTGATGACATCCTTCCAACTTAAGAATCCTAGAACACAGGTTCCTTAACAAAGCAAATTATCACTTCTGAATAGAGGTACAGTGGGTTTCCAGAACAACTTAAAAATCTGATGATTTGTGGAAAACAAGGGTAGGGGAGAATTGTTGCTTCCATCACTTTTTAAAAACATTTACTTAATAAATATATCCTTTCAAATGACTGTGATTGTCAGTATATTACCATGTTACATAGGGCCTAACGACCTGCAACCTTGTTATGTTGCAGTACTGCACAATTATCAAAAGCACTATCATAATAATACTTGAAATAGTAAGGCCCTAACAGACTGCATTCTAACAAGGATTAACTTTACTTGGATATCTCACTGTAACCACAATGAGTATTGCTCTCAAACACAGAACAGAATCTAGTTTAGAAAGGTTAACCTTAAATGTATGTCAGGCTGTACTTGTGGTGTCATTCACATTTGCTTCTGCTAAGAGAAACATATCTTGTCCATGGTACTGTAACTATTAACACTCTAAGATACTATTTACAGCTGCTTCTAAAATAGAGTCAGTTTCTACAACACCTTCGCTGTGGTCTGGAATAAACTTTTCCAGGCAGTTTTCCTGTGAAGCAATAGGTGAAAAATTAGGAAATTCTAAGTCAACAGAGCCACTACTCGATGCCTCATTTTGTGGCGGTCTCCCAGCTTTTTTAAGTTCCAAGATGTTTTTAAATGTCGTTTCTAAACTCTTACTCAGCAGTAAGTCTTGCTGGGGTTCACCAGAGCCCTTCATGTTATCAGGATGTAAAACCTCATTCTTTGGAGGGCTCCGCAGAGTTTTGTCTTTGAGGGAATTATTACATGTTACCTTTGAGAAAGACTGAACTGTATTCCTTGATATTTTATTGTGTGTTCCATGACTGCCTCTTGATACAGTTTTTGACAAGTCTTCAGAACTCGAAGAATTCTCAATGGACTTGTTAAGATCTTTACCAGCCATCTTTTCTTCAGAAAGGGCCTTGTACTGGCTCTCAGAAGAACAATTAGCTTTCTCAAACTTTAAAGCTTTAGTGAGGCTCTCCGATTTTTTAGAAGAAGCTGTTCCTTCTTGTGGTGTCAAAATGTTGTTAGGCACTAGAGGAAGTTTACTGTGATTTGTGGACTCTGCTGAGCTGGATTTTGGTCGGTCTCTGGCTTGGGTTTTGGTAGTCTGACTTCGAGAAGATAATGTTTTGTTAGACTGATGGTCACTTTTGCTGGTCTGTGCTTCGTCAGCTGTTTTATCAAATTGTTTGGCAGAACAACAAAAATCGGCCTGATAACCATCTGAAAATTAAGTAGCAACATTTTACATTAACTACCTATATACCAAAAGAACACGTTCCATCTTTTCCTTAGTACTGAAATTCAAGTAACATCCACAGCCTAGAGATTCATGTCTTTAAGAAACGCTTAAGTGTTCCGCTGCACTAATGCTTTAGGGCAGGAGATTATGACCAAATTTACCAGCATGCTATGCACATGAAGGGCACTGTAAAACCACATTAAAGGCACTTTCAAGCATTCTAAATATCCAAATGTGGTATTAGGAAGATGAGTATTTCAATCTAAACTGCCATATCATACTTCCTCTGAATATTTTTTAAAATAGGCTAGCAATCAGTGCCTCAGTGGGGCCAGAGATATTTTTAAACAACCCACGCTTATGCTGCTTTTGTAAGATTCAGAAGACAACCATCACTTACCAGGATCCACTAGTGCAAGACGCTTCTCTCGGGACAGAGATGCCCTTTCTTCCTGGTTAAACATCCTATCTATCATAACCATTTCTGCAGATGGATTTATCCGCTGCAGGAAAAGGAAAAAACAACCATCTTTGAGGTAACTCATATGTCTGTACTAAATCAAAACACTAATAGCTTAGTCACTACTCAAAGAAAAGAATGACTTTCATTATGTGTTTGTGGAGAACATTCACAATTTCACGGCATCTTCAATGATCTTGACCCTGACTACAAGAACTAATGAAACTCAACCACAAATTATTATTCACATTTTATGGTATATTTAATTTGTTAAAGATTTGAAAACAGAGAATTGCTATTCCTGTCATAGCAGTTATAACTTTTCACAACTGATTGTATTTACCACTGGACACCACGATTTTTTTTTACATCATATACAGCAACTTTCTTTTTCAGAGGGAAGAACAGCAAAGATCTTGCAATTGGGACCACCCTATCATCTTGTAGCTGCACTTCTCTCCCAGCAATACTAGTACTTTCAACTAGCTGGTGCTGTTGCATTTTGCTGACCACACCGTCAAGCCAGTAGCCCCATCCATCACAGAAGAAAAGTTCACTGGCTACCAAGTCACAACACCAGTAATCCTGAACACTCTTTCAAATAACTTCATTCCAAAATGAGTGAATAGGACACACCATGCAAAATACCAGATGCTAAAAGAACAGATTTTCGCCTCTATCTCCCCCTTTGCATCTGCAATTACTTCCAAATATATGACAGTTACTATCTTTTTAATGGGACTGCCAGATTCTGAAACCATGCTAATTGCAACATTTTTATTAAGAATTCCTGCTTTACTACACATTCCTGTTCCTAAACGATTGATTAAAATGTCTTTTATACCTAAATTCTGTACTTTTCCAGACTCAAAAGCCAGCATGTTTGAAGCCACAATGAGATTCCCTGATCCTTGTAATATACATTCTTAAAGTAAGTTTTTTCACTTCACACCTGGGACTGTGAAAGCATTTAAATTGGAAGCATTTATGATGAAATGTCAGACTCCACCTAGCTTCTAAGGAGAACTAATTATTTCCTAAATTATAATAAATTTGGCTCCAATTATAATATGTCTGGAGGCCTTTGAATGGAGCTTTACAACATTCTTTCAGGCATTATCTCTTGCAGAAACATATCACCTGACTACCACAGCCTCAGAGGAAGAGCAAAGAGCTTTGTTGATGTGTATACTAGCTTACACTTTGTTGATGTGTCTCCAATGTCTATGATATGAGTATATGGCAGCACCCTTGCTTAGACAGTATGTAAAAATAGGGATAAATAGCAACAACAAAATTTATCTTAATGCTAGTTCTCACATTCCTGTATTTTTTACAAACTGAATCACATCCTATAAACATTATTGTATCTGCATTATACACCTTACCATTGCATCTTCTATAAGTAAACATCTGTATTTGTTCAGCATAGCTTGTGTCCTCTTCAGAAGCTGTGTAGCTACAGATTCAAATTCACTGTCCACTAGAAAGACAAGAGTATACTTTCAAATACTGTTCTTCAGTAACCAAAAGGTTTAGTAAAGTGCACAAACTTTGAAATGTTCCTTCCGTTATTACTCTAAATTAGATGAGGAATTCTCTCAGTACATTCGTTACAATTTTATTGCCAATTTTAAAGGAAATTACCTTTCCTTAAGTCTTCGTCTGTTGGCAGCGATCCCTGGCACACATGATATGAAAGGAGTCTCTGAACTGCATCATTTAATGATCTGAACTGACTTTTATCTGGCGTCACAGCATTCACCTGATCCTTCTGTAATTGTTGCAGAATACTACAATGAAAATTAATGGTATCTATAATTAGCACATACGAACACATAATTGGCACAAATAAAAGTTTATACGCTATCGAAAATTAAAGAGATGAAAGTTAAGAGAAAATATCTGCAATAAAATTAAAAAAGAAGAGAATGACTTACAAAGCTCCTTTAGTTAACTGTTTAGCAGCAGGCCTTTTCTGTCCAACTAAATGACCATCCACCTAGGTACAAAATAAAAGACAAATTACAGTATGTGCCCTCCTTTGTAAAGCCTAAGTTTCAACATTTGTTTCTGCCAAATAAGTATTTCAACAGTAGTAACTGCAATCACCAAGCAAGTATAAACACTTAACCATCTCATGTTTTCATAGGGCACTTTATGAAATACTCAACGAAATACTCAGTGAAATACAGAAGTCACTTCTACTGCATCACAAATGTAAAGTTTCCAGGCAATTTCCACTGTGGTGCACATACACACTTCACTAGAGAAGAGGTTTGTTTTCAAATTTAGCAGGTGAAAAGGTACAACTAAAAACTTGAAAATATATATATTCTCAAGAACTGTCTGCATGTCTCAGCTGTCATCATCTTCCCTGATTTAAATGAATCGGAGTATCTGTTGAGGAAGCAGGCTAGGGTTCCATATATAAATTTTCTAAAGCCACAGTGGTTGGGAGGGAGGCGAAAGCAGTCCCAGAAATTGTTTCAGCGTCAATGGTGCAGGTATACCTATCAGACAGGTCCATGTAGTCATCTCCTTGCACACTTATGAAGCCACAAGGTTTTGCAGTGGAACACTGCCCTAAGATGTTATGTTTTTTGAGATGGGAGAGGTTCATGTTCCTATCGTATGACAGGCATTACTGCAATCTACATATTGTCCCCAAGAAGCCATTCTGAAACAGCCTTTATTTAAAACTTTTCTTTTTGCATGACACTGATCAACTAGTCTAACAAAACCAGCCACAGAGGAAAAGTTACTTCTGATTTAAAAACAGATTGGGGGAAAGCTCTTTTGAACTGCAACATGATTAGAAGGAACCAAAGAGGATGTGGTGCAGAGCATCCTTCTTAACAAAGTAGGAGTGGCATGAGGCAGGCACAGTGCAATGGTACTTGCTGGTCAAAAAGGCTCTAGCTTCAGAGAATAAAAAGTATTCACCACCACATGAGAACACACATCTGACCAATAATTACAAAACCAAGCTAAACTCATAATTGAGTTATGCATCTTCTGCTCTACTTGTACATCAATCAGTAAGACAACGAAAAACACGTATGCCATACTACATTGAAAGCCTCACTGCAAGGAACAAAAATTCTAAATCAAAGCCTCTGTTGTCTTCTTCTGTGACTTTGCAGTTTAGCTCTATCCACAACTAATCCCAAACTTTCTAGCGTACTTCAGACCCTCACCTCTTGCCCTCAGCTACTCCAGTCCATGAATGTAACAACTGTGTCCTTCCTCCAAAAGTACTTGTATTCCACCTCTAAAAAATCTGTTCTCCCCTTTCAGCCCCAAACCTTGGAAGCAGTGTTAAATTTTTCTACATAGTTGCCATATATAGGAAAACTTCTGGTGGGAAAAAAAAAAAAAAACACTGGGGAAAGAAGACAGTGCAGTAAAGAATCAAAAAAAGGCCAGATGGAATTTTTCTGCTACTTCTCAGAAACCATCCCCTCCCAGACAGCTACAGAATAGCAGAGTTTGTAAGAAGTAAGAATACCAGCAGGTCTAACTCATGCTCAGCTAAATGAAGAACTGTGATGTCACATGAAATTATCGTCAGGACGCCACAGAGTCAGACTCCACTTACTGAGTAAATCTCAAAACAGCATTCATAATATCAACTGGCAAAATACCCATTTTTTTTGTGTCAAAGTAAAATTTAACAAGCTTGAGTGCCTTCCTGCATTGTAAAACAACCTGCAAGGACTACTACATTATCACTATGGAGCTGAAGCGTCTTTAACTTCACTGAAGTTTGAAGGGAAAAGGAAGCATATAAATGAAAGTATTTTCTACCTGTACACTCTGCTGAACTGACGATGCTCCTATTCCTTTTTCTTGTGGCTGTGCTGTTCCTAGAGACTGCTGTATGACTTTTCCTCCAGAGTCCTGTCCTATAAAGAATACATTAAAAAGACTCTGTCATCCTATGCAAGAACAGAACAATTTCATGTACCTGTCCTGATCATTTTACTTGAGCTTTTAGCTTTTAGGTGAAAGATGCCTCATATGCTTAAAAACACTAGTGTAACTACCCTGCAGAGAAACCAACACACAAAGATGTAAAAGGACTGATATTCTGTACTGCAAAGTACAAAAAACATTACATATAAGCACCTCCTACCACTGCAGTGGTAAGAAGAAATTCAAGTACTACAAGCATAGGGGCCAAAAAATTTACCGAAAAAAATCACACAGTACTTTTTATCAAGATTTTCTATACTAACCCTCACTGAAGGATATAAACCTAAATATTGTAAAGCTCTTGCAAGTACTTAAACAGCGTAAGTTCTTCTAACTTCACAAAAAAAATCTAAATTATAGCTGGGCAGACTTCCTCCAATTGCCTTACACAGGAATGCAAACAGCATCTTACCCCCCACACACACATTACAACCAACACAATTATTATTTTTCTAAACATATATTGTGCTGATTGGAGAGAATGCCTGGAGAGCTTGCATATCAGCACAGAACAACAAAAAATAAAAAATAAAAAATAAAAAGCAAGTAGATTATGGGACCTTATTCAAAAGGGTTACTAACATACAAAGATATTAAGGTTACTGCATTCTTCTGTTTGCTTTGAAGACATTATAATCTGGCATTGGGTTTGGCTTTTTTAATAGCATGATGCTACTGAAAAAGCCTAGTATTTTGCCATAAACAAGAAATTATCTATTCTAACTGAAAATTACAGATTTATTCAAAAACAAACCGAGTGATGGCAGCCTGCACAAAACGTTGTGATCACTATTTTTATTTCCTCTGGACCTGAAGCAGCCATCACAAGAGAAGCTACAGAAGCGTCAGAGAATTTTGTAGCTGATGTCTGTATTTTCAAAGTGACCTACCTCTACTTTTCCAAGTTGGAAAAAAAAAAAAAAAAGAAAAATAGAAGAAGGTACAGTTTGGGATTTTATAGAGGAAAGCAGAAACTGCTTATAGTACAAATTCAACTTTACACTCTACAAAATATGTGCCATGGTTGAGAAAAATAATAGCACACAGCCAATACTGAAAAACTTAGTTTGCAACTAAAAAACTGAATTCTGATAACCTTTAGGACTACCAGCACGAGCCATCAATGAAAGCCTAACACTGTGAAGAAGCACTTAATTCTGTTGCTGGAAAAAATGAGAAAATGATTTTAAAAAGACCTTAGTTGACCTGATAGTGTGTTGCTCAGAAGACTTGTTAGCTGAGGCTGTCTCAAATTATCCTGCGTCTTCGATGCAGAAACTGGTGATGTCTGGTTCATAGCTTTTTTCTGTGCCACATACATTAAAAACAAAAACAAAATCTACAGTCAGATCTGCACATCCAATCTACACGTCCTTCTTCCACCTCAAACCTGTAATTGGTGAAGCCTCAGCCATCTCAACTTCTCAACGTAAGCTCAAGAATCTAATAAAGTTAATCAGAGAGGAACAGAAACTAAATGTGGCCCTCAGACAGCTCAGCTTTTGAGTCTCAGAACTGCAAAAGGTGACTGAACTGTCTCAACAAAATACAAAGAATCAGTGGAACAAACTCTGCAATGCTTAGTGACTAAGTGATACACTGTTTATGATACCATATAACATTTAAAACATAGGTACAAACTAAAAAGATTCCGGTGAACAGTAGAACCTGTTCTCTATACTTAAAATCATTTTGCCATTTCTGGCTCTGAAGTTATAGCAGAAAAATAAAATTATCATTTACAACAATATGAAATACTGTGCTTCTGAAACTGCTGAAATTCACTGACCTCAATACATATCCTATAAATATGAAGATAGAGGAATATGAAGAGAAAGTCAGGCAGGCCTCTACTCATCTGCAAGCAAAGCTTTACAACTTGTGGTAGCATTTTTGGCAAAGACTAAAAAAATTGGTCCCACAACATGTTTGCCTTTATTTTCTAAGTAAAGCTGCTTTATATCCTTGCCTATTTTGGTCTCAGTTGATGAATGCAATGTCTTTGAGAAAAAGAGAAAAAAAAATGGTATTTGGTACAATTGCATTCTGAGACAATTACCAGTATTTTAGAATGACCAAGGGAAAAAAAAAAAAAAATGCCAGCAGGGGATAATAGCTTATTGCTAATGACGTGACATGTCATTGAATTAAATATTGACAAGGTGAGGAAGTTATTTACGAAAGCCAAGAAATTTAAATTCAATATATTCTGCAACTGCATCAACAGGATAAAAAAGACCAGTTTTCATCCCAAAAGCACAGACTTTGTTTAATATTTATCAGTACTCTTCTTCCCAAGAAAACTTCCGATCTCAAATTTGCACCAGCCAAACCTTGAAAACACATACGTAATTCTTAGTGAGGTCAAAGGACTTGTAGGCGCTAAGAACGTACCCAAGACTTTAACATCGGTCTCTATAGCTAGATTTTCAGGAGAGCCCAGAGTTGTTTAACCTCATGGTGTCCATTTCTTTGAATGGGAACAGAAATACATCAATATACCCATTTAGAAATTATCACTACCAATGAAAACTTCAGAATTAATGAAATCAACAATCATTAGCTCAGTGAAAGACTTTACAAAATACTGGGTGAAATGATGCATACAGGTTACAGTGATTTTCAGCAGTCCCACAGTATTTGTAACAATATAACCTACCAAAATGAATGTTTTCCATATAACATTACCACTTTGTTAACCAGATTTTAGCACAGTTTAGGAGCATTTCTTTGGCCGCACCCCAAAGCAGCTTGCATACCTGACCAAAGGCGAACTGCTGCTGCGTCACTCCAACTGACGTGTGACTGAAGGTGCTGTTAGATTTGGAAGAGGATGCTGGAAGACGATGCGATGCACTGACGGGAACTTGAGTTCTGTTCTGCGTGAGCTGATCTCCCGTGAAGTTTCCCCCTGACGCCACGGACTGAACCGATGGTCCCAGGCTAGGATGTACCGAACCAGAAGAACTCACAGCGGCGAATCGATTGGAGGCTGACATGTTTGAGACTGTGGACTGCCCAGGTGACATCGTAGTGAAACTCGATCTACCTTGAGAAACATTAGCTTGACTGGGTGACAAATGCAGCACTGTTGGCGACGCCTGCTGCAGTGGCACCTGTCCACCAACGATTTGTGAAGTCCCGTGGTTCACTATCACTTGGTTTCCAGGAGCTGTGAAGGTCTGGCCAGAAACAAGCTGAACAGCTGTGTTCTGATTATTCAGCATCTGCCCGGAATACGACTGGTTGGCTCTCAGCATGTTTGTGGAGTTCCTGTTGAGCATTACATGCTCAGCAGACACTTGGCTAGGAACCAGCTGGGAAGGCTGAGTCTGAAGAAGCTGTCCATTTATGGCCTGGACGTGATGAACCGAATTGGAATTAACAGACAGACTCGTAGGTATGAGAAACTGGTTCTGAGGTGCGTGAGGCTGTCCCATGGGGGAATGGATAACAATACTACCTCCAGCATTGCTAACTGTCTGAGGTGTAACTGATTTTCTTGTGTTTTGCTGATTAACAATATTAACAGACATATGGGGACCAACTACTGAACTCTGAGGTGAGTTTGCGGAGGCAAACGGAATCCCTTGCTGCACATGATGCTGCTGTATTCCCAAGTTATTCACATTGTAAGCAGTTTGCTGACCCATCTGGATAGGCTTTGGTTGGATATTAATGGGTACTTTGTTAGAGTTTGGTGCTAAACCTCTTTGAATGATGATATTATGGACAGGTACGGATGTCTGAAAATTTGTGCTGTTAAATGGGACTGTTACAGGTTGTGCTACTGGACTTGAATTTGAGTTACCAAACAGCGAGTTACCATTTGGAGTCTGTCTATGAACCAAGAGGCTACTGCTCATGTTTGCAGGTGTTTGCTGACCATTGCCTTTCAGTATTATCTGAGATCCATCAAGGTTATTAATGGTCATCATGGAAGGTTGATTACTAAACGAACCAATTAGCTGTATCTGCCCAGAACCACTAATCTGGTTGCTATTAGACAAATGCTGGCTGGGAACACTAATTCCGACATGTTGCATAAAGCCATGTTGCACACCGACTGTATTGCTTGCAAAAGATGCTCCAACAGGTTGCTGTACCACTTGAGTAACTCCTATAGGTTGCAACGTCTGACCTGAGTAATTAGAAACATTAGAAGCCTGAGTAAAGGATGCTGATGAAGAAGGATGAAGCTGAGCTTGTGCAAACTGTTGGCTAGAACCTACGCTGGCATCCAAATATGCCTCTTCTGCCAAAGTCTGTTCGGTAATATTGGCCTCCTGCAAGGACTTCTGAAGAATATCAAAAGGTTGATCCTCACTAAGATCAGGTAAAGGAGAAGATACAAGTTCATCTTCAAGAAACTGAAGGCTACTGGACAGCTGCAGTCCATCACTAGGCCCCTCTCCAAGTTGACTGCTTACACCTTTTACAGATGACTTAGGATCAGTGTTCTGAAACAGAAAGCAACAATAAATAAATCATTTTCAGAAATTACCAGCTCTAAATTGTTTCCCCATTAAGCTTTTTCATGCACACAAACTTTTGCTATAAAATTATCTTCTTTGCATAGCATGCTTATAAGGGGAGGTTCATCCCATACAGCAGGCCAGCACAAACGTGTGCATCACTGACATCCCACTCGTGCCCTCATAACAGACTGCTGGAGACACTTCTCCAGGCTCCCAACACCACCACTCGCAGCTCTGCAGCTGCACTGTTTCAAGAGGATCCGATACATGCTCTTGAAGAACCCTTTTCCCTTCTTCAAGCTGAGCACAGTGTGGACAAAAGGGTAAAAGAAAGGAGCTCCATCTCCAGAATACTGCCATACTACAGTCGCACAATGCAAATTAGTGGCCAGTTCAAAAAATTAAGGAACGACGTTAATTCTTTGTTTAGAATAATTTTAGAAATGAAGGACTAAGAAAAACGGTGCTACAGACTTGGCAGTTTATTTTATTAAAAAGATTACAGAGAAGCTATTAGCATTGACACTACACCAAATATTAAGTAGCACCTTGAAAGAAAAATCCTTCAGAGCTACATCTATAAATACTGTGAGATGAAAATATTTTATTTTGGCCTACTGTCAGATTTTCCTGAAACAAAACTATGCCTAGAATCTCTAAGCAACACAAATGTCAGGTTTCTAAGAGGGTAGGAATGACAAATTTAAATGGGATTAGAAAATTGCAATACTTCTAAGTTAGATTGAGTACGCCTTTCTAAATTTCACTATCCTCTTTCAACTATTCAAAAACCAACAGGCAATTTCTTCTTTGGCCAGGACTGCAAAATGTGGGCGTGAAAATATCAGTCACATTCATATTCCGAGCCTTCACTACCTGAAGGTCATAGACATTAGTTTTCACCTCGTATAAACAGGTGAAGGCACTGCAAGCTGTAATTATCACATGCAGTAATGTCCCCACCCTAACTACAGCTCCCCAAGCATACTCAATGTAGAATTTTACCCCAGTCTGCCTCTGAATCATCCTGTGTAGTTTACAGAACTTTGGTCACATTATACAATATTAAGAGATTGTTCTTAGAAATCAATATAATATTTTAAAAATATAAACATCAATTACATACATATATGAATTAACAAAAGGCATTAAATTGGTACTTAAACATCACTGGTACTTAAATGTCTTGATGTCTGCACCTCATGAACACCTGAAATTACAAATTAGGTCCTTGAATGTACCTAGCTACCATCAAGCAGAGCACAAACGAATCACTAAATCGGGCTCTACTAGAATTCAAGACTCACACGTTCCTGGGGATAAATCCTTACTGCATCTGTAATTTGTCTCCAGTGAGAGCAACCAACGTGAAATCTTTCAAGACTGTATAATTTAGAAGCTTCCAGTTAATGCTGTTCCAGTCAGAACTAACAATACAACTACTGCTAATAATAATTACAATAGCAATAGTAATAATAAATAATAATATTATATGTAATCAAGATTAACAGCTTGAAACTCCCTCTCTGGAATGGGAAATCCTGAGGTTCACTGCCTGCTCCCAGGACTGTTTAACATTTAAAAACAATTTTACATGCATGAGCTGGAAACTAGCATCTTCCAACTTAACATCTGAATCACTGCTGCCCAGATTCATAAGAGCCACACAGAACACCATCCTACTTTCAAGGAGAAATTAGCACCTCTGCAACTTCATGAATCGGCACTGAATACAACCCAGGAAATAGGGCAATAGCTAGGGAACTCTCTCATGAGAGATGTAACACAGACTTTATGACAGCCCAAGGAAACAAACCTGGAATCAGCAGAGGTGTTCTGTAATCATCCAACTCAGAGGGGAAGGGAGGGAATAAAAGCAGACACTGCCTTCTCTCCCTTTAGTCACCACAAACTTGATCTTGTTTGTGGCATATGTTGGCTGAGAAGGCTGAGGCACTGAACCCCTTGACACTGAATTTGTAATCTCTGCCACTGAAAGGCATGAGATGGGCACCAAGACAGTCAATGCTATGTCATGGTAGCAGTTTTGAATATATACAAAAGCGGAACTTTCAGTAAACTTTCAGTAGCTGCAAGAATTTTGATGACAAAAAGGTCAGAAGCCTTCAACTTTTCAGGTGTCTTAATTTATAAGCAAAGCCTGTGAAACCATCCACCACTGGGACTTTGATTTTAGATACTTTGTCCCTTCACAATGCGCTGTAAACATCTATCTTCGCAATCAAGTCATTCTTCATGCAAGTCAGCACAGGGCTTCTACCCAAGGGAAGAAGGAAGAGAAGAGAAGGTATTGGTATTCATTACAAAGACACAAAAGTACAAGAGCAGAGCACAAAGGGAACATGTTATGGAGAGCTTAAAAAAAAAAAAAGGTAAGCCACCCTAGAAGCAGACACTAGAAAACCCTGCGCCTCTTATCTGTCTTCTAGATTACCTATCACCCCCCATCTCATACATCAGAAAGCTCTTCTGGCATTCACCTAATGTTTTCGTTTCTCCCAACTGCTATTCCCTAGCCAAAAAATCCATCTTCCTCAGTACTTATTTCCTCTCAAAATCACTCTAAAAGCTCACACTCTGAAAATGCACCAGAAGTAACCCCCTGACCACTTACTCATGACTATCAGAAGAACGTCTACACAGAACAACCAGGCTATGGCAACAGCAAATGTGTATGTCATCCTTTCTCCCCAAGAGCCCAGTATATTTTTAGGATGTGTCCTCAAAACTCACCTCTGCCAAGCTGCATGTAGGAAACTGCTGTCTGATAACGGCTAGACTCATACCATGTTGACAACACTGTTACTGATCAGCAGAAAATTGGGCACACCCTACTAGGTACCCCACTTCCCCCACAACTATCTCAACAGGCTTAGCTGTCTTGTTTTGATCTTTCAGCCTGTAAGCTCTGTGGAGAAAGAACTGTCAGTCAATTTATGTTTCTCCCACAATATTTAATAATGATAATGAAAGGGGAAGGATAGGGCAAACACATCATATCCTAACACTGTAGGCAGACAAAAGTCACTGGTTCTGTATGAACAGATAAACAGTTTTCAGGAGTCATTTGTGCCAGTTATTTAAGGGTCCTACACATCTACAGTATATCCACATTATTCGCTAGGAACATGGGAAAAATGTGCAGAGTCAAGACAACACTACAATAGACAATTACCAAGGAAACCCAGCTGTATATACTGAAATAACTGAATTCTGGGATGAAGACATTATACCTATATTTAAATTTATATTTAAATTTAAAAGAAAAAAAAAAAGATAGAAATGTGGGACAGAAAACATCTCCACAAGTCATTTAGTCCGACCGTATTTAAAACAAGTCTGTTGCCAGCACTCAGTCAGATCAGCCTTGGCTGTGTCTCCACGGATGGCAAGTCCATAACCTCTATGGGTAAAATGCAGTCTAGTGCTGCAATACTCCTCGTAAAGAAAGAACACTGAAGACTACTTACAACACCTAATGAATTTCAAGTGACTTCTCTAACACTGAAGTGACAGGAAGAAAACATCCCCAGCTAGCTATTCAGTCCAAAGAACAGCAACAACAAAAAACCTTAATTAAAATTGCTAGCTCAGATACTACATAGAAGTAAGAAAAAAATTACCCCACAATACACAGGAAATGTATGAATGACTAACTTGAAAGTCTATGCTTCAGCACTGCTACATCTACAATCACTAAACTTACAAGTCTTGTTCACTGAACAGAATTACACTGCAGAATATTTTCATGGCTCAACAAGGTGTTTTTTTGCATATTTGTGAAAAACAGCCCAGTACTGCTATATGTATTCTGGTTAAGTCACCACTGAAAACCTAATAAAAATACTTACACAGCGCAAGGTGATTTTATGCTAGCACTCAAAATTTTCATATGGAAAAGGTCAAAGCCCAAATCTCCTTTATTTGGTTATATAAAAGCCAAATAAAGCTGTAAAAGAAGCATGCAGTTTCAATAAAAACATGATTTCTCTCCTGACCACTTACATTGGAGTTGGCAAAAATTGAATTTGAGTTGGCTACAGAATATTCGGCATTCGTCAAGTCTTCATTGCTCTGGTAAAAGACACAAATCATGTTTAGAAATAATACACACAATTACGGTTATGCATGTCTAGTACACAGGAATACTACTTACAGATTTACTACTAGGTCCATGTAGAAAATAATTCAGTGCCTGTGGGTCCCTTAAGAAAAAAAGAAAAAAAGTTACCACTTCTAGGCAACTGAGCTAATGAGGCTGATTTAACTGAGACAGATACTCTTAATTCACATATACCAGGTTCTGCTGGCTCCCGTGAAAAGCTGAAGAGTTTATACCATCTGAAGATCTGTGTCTTTATCAGTATGATTTGCAGATGCTGATCACATCTACTGTCATTACACAAAGGCATTTCAAGCGATAAACCCACAAAATCTTGGTTGCACTCTACCTCCTTTTATGAGAGTACTACTCTCATTCTCTTACAATTCAGTATTTCACAATGTGTAATACAAAACCTAAGGAAAATACGTGACCAAATAACATGAGAACTACAAGAGGCACCATCTATTCTACTGGGATCAACGATAATGCCTGCTCAGCTAACATCTAAATCAATAGGAAGTTTATAAACTTGAATCCTTTACAATGTTTTCTGACACCCTATTAACAAAAACCACTTGTTTTTGATAGAGTAACCGTCTCTTCACTTGGAGAAAAAAAGCTGCATCTTTTCCAAGCAAAATCAACCATACAAATAACTTCTTACTGAAATACAGTTTCAGAGCACTTCATGAATTTAGCACTATCACTGAATAGAACTCAGATTTAAAAGGTGGTCTGACAGAATGAGCATTGGAAATTCAAATAAATTAAAAATATTTTAACATAACTGCACATACAGACCTCATAAAAAATGTATTACATGGAATTATTTGGGATTACATGGGAAAATAAAGTGGGAACAAGTTAATTAGTCCTCTGAAAGCACACATACACATGCTCTTTGTTTCATTTGGGAAAAAAAATAAAAAATTCATTCACAACATTTGATAACCTAACTTATGTTAAACAGGTATTGCTCATCAGGGACTTTATGGTACAATTACATTTACAACATATAAGTGGTTACAAATACTGCCAACCAAAAATATTATTTTCATAGGAGATGCACTGAATGTCAAGAATTAAGAAGAAAGATCACTATACAAGATCATGAGTGTACCGTACTTATAAGTTTTATTGATACATGATCAGGCCATTTAATACCAATTACACTCACTGGCCAAGTCATGAAAAATGCAATTAAAATTGAAGAACACTTCACCACTTAAATATTGTCTTTTGCAACTGATGAATTTTAGAAGGCACTTACCAAATATCAAAGATCTGATGGGAAAAAATGTTGCCCTCCATTCTTCTAGCTGCTTAGGGCACTAATTGCTGCGAGCAGCAGGAAGAACACTGCAATTTCTCAAACACTTATCTGGATAGAGAGCACTTCATTTTCTGGACCACGTGTAAACTTGTACCGGGATCCTCATGATTCACACTCACAAGGCAGCATTTAATTGTCCAAAGCAGCCAATTATCATCCTTATGTTCCAGGCAGGATGTGCTTTCCTTTTTTACAGCTACCATCAGTAGCACAGTATATACCACATGGAATGGAAGTGTGAGCCATTACTGGCAACACTTTTGCCATAGCATCTACAGAGTAACCCCCAAATTATAACAAACACTGCAACAGTATTTTGTTTTCTCTGAAGTTAAAGCTCTCACTGGTTTTGCCAGTTCTGAGCAGGTATGAAGCATAAAAGGCCTATTTATTTGCTACATTTAAGAGTAAAAAAATCTTTTGTATGAAGTTGAAATGATCTGGTAATAGCTGCTACATGACTGATACCACACTAATTTCTGACAGTTTGAACAAAGTAGCAGGTATAGATGTTCAAGTTTCATCTTTTTTTTTTTTTTTTTTTATTGTATTACAGGGTATTACCTGTTCTTAAATACCTGACATTAAAGCTAGGCAAAAAGAAAAAAAAAAAAAAAAGGGTAACTTGTCATACAAACAATCCACAAAAATCTTGCTTGTTAATTATTGTTTTATGAGATTCCCACAGGAAATACATTATCAACCTGCAAACAAATCTGTGATGGAAGTAAGGAAAAAAATAAAAGTCCCCAATCAAGCATCTTTGCGCAAAATGCTAATAAATCCTGTTTTTTTGTGGATACTTAACAGTACTAGGTAGCAATTCTTCTAGCTTCTTTTTATGTATACATGCTATTAGCAGAAGTTAAGTATTTGTTGAGAAAAAAAATCGAGTTTACTTTTCTATTTAAAATACAAGCATATTGTTAACAAAGTTTCTAGTTTCACTGCTCAAAAAGCTAAGTTGTTTTTTTTTAATACAAAAAGTAATTCTTTGCAATGAACTTTGTAACAGCACCCCTACCAACGTGCTTGTGCAATGACCTGGTATTATCACTAGCTGAAAAGAAACTCCAGCTTCCACTCAACCCTTAGCTGCTCTTGAGGAGGATGCCAACAAGCAGAGTGACCACTAGCACGAACTGTGACTGAAGGCTGTGTTAAACACATATCTCTGCATGAAGGGAAGCATAGCTTTTATTTATTTATTTATTTTTATCATTTCAGCACATCATAGATACTCATTACATCTGCAAGGCACCTAGAATCCCTTCCTAGAAGATAATTTTGTAAAATGATTTTTCACACCTTTTCTGAAAGAATTGCATAGGGAAAACTTACCCAATAAGATCAAGGAGACAGGATTCATCATCATCATCATCCATGACAACTGAAACAAAACGGAGGAGGGAGATATTTGACACGCATCAGACAAAAGATTGCTTTTAACAATAAAACCATTCTAGAATATCTCAATGATTTGTAGCTAACAATTCATGGGAGTCAGGTGATAACTACTGGTAAGCTCTTATATATACATGCACCTTCTACGGAGGTCCATACAAATTTGAAACATTTATCTCAAAATCACATTGTCACATGTAAGGATCTACAAAACCCCATGCAGTACCTTATCATTTAGGGTTTTTAAAAAAAAGTTAAATTGGAGAAAGACAAATGATTAACCAAGCTGATCACAGAGAACATCCGTGACTTAAAAAAGTAAAGACCAACTCCGAATATATCTCAAGACTCTCACTGAAATCCTTCTATGGGAATTTCTTCCCAGCTATTCCCAGCGAGGATATATATGACCACTCCAGAGCCTACACAGACAGTTACAAATTGGTGGCTTTAACCAGACAAAAAGATAAAGAGATTTGGTCAGTATCATAACAGTGCTTTCATAGGCTAGAGAGAAAACTACAGCTAACAAGCAGCAAGGCATTAGAAAGAACATTGTGTTTTTAGAATGCCCTTCTGAGCTATTGCTAGCCGCAATACACACAACTTCAGTGTCTACTCAATACTCAGAAGTGTGTTTAAATGAACGTGTGATTAATAGTGGAGAGTTCTGACAATCCTTTGAAGAATGGGTGGGGAATTTGTTTGGATTACCGAAGTGATGCAAGCATCCAGCGGGCGCAGCGCCTTTTTAGCCTCACAGCATCACAGCCGCCAGCTCTCGTGCTCACGGCTGGCTCAGTCTGGTACTGGCTGTACCAAGGATGTTCCCTCACTCTTTCCTCTGACTGCTGGTCCTTTGAAGCTTCTGTTTGCATTACCCTGGTTCTCCCATTCACCCTAGCTCCCACAATTTCATCTGACTGTAACATCTCCTCCCTTTTCCCTGCTCTCAGAACTTCTTTATCCTCCCTTATTCTCTGTGAGATCCCACCTAATCCACCAGTGCAATTAACAAACGCTGCGAGCATTCCCTAAACCTCTTTGTACCCTGGTTTCCATTCAGTTATCCAGCCTCATCCCCACGATATCGTGCAATCAAATCGAACTGATCCCTGCGCATTCCATGTTCGGTTTTCCCTCAGCTCCCCCTCAAAGTCCACCATCAAACTTAACACCCAAATTTACTATGGTTTGGCTTTAATTCCTTGTGCTCCACCTCTTGCTTCTGGCAAAACACAAACTTACTGCCCCTGAGCAGCTCCACACCAATCGTTCTGCGGGCTCCCTCCCCTGCAATGCCCCTAATGATGGAGCTGATGAAGGGACCTGCCATGCAGGAGGCCGAGCACGCCAGGACCACTCTGCCAGCAGAGCAGGAGGCCGGGGGGATCTTCCCAATGCGTATGCACAGGAAAGGGTTGAAACACCTATTGAAAGGGTACAGCAGAGGCGGAGGGTCCATCGCTGTAAGGGTGTCTCAGTACCACTGCTCTGGGAGGACACAAAAACTGAGTCTGTTTTGCCCATCCCAGTAACTGTTGAGTGATCTCCCTTGTCCTGATCTCAACCCCTGAGCCCCTTCTATTGTATTTTCTCCTCCTTTCCTTTCCTTTGAGGAGTGGCAGTGAGAGAGGTGCAGTGGTGGAGCTCAGCTGCCCAACTGGGCAAACCCACCACAGCTAGACAAAATTAGCATTCATGAGCCAATTCTGCATTTTAAGGAAAATGCCTTCTCCCCCGTTTCAGTAGCAAACCTGCTCGCTGCTCCTACCACCAACTGAGCGCTGAGGGAACGACTACAGGACGTTCGATGATGTCCCCGTGAATTTCAATGTAAGTGTGCATTAGCAAGAGCAAATCAGTAAGTGATTAGCATTCTGCTTTAATTGCACTGGCAGTACTATTTGCAGAAAGCTATCGTTTGCTTATATAGCATATACAGCTCCCAAAAACAGGTTTCAAAGGTTCCTGGGTAACTGGGGGAAAAAAAATCTATTGAAAGTCAACAGGATCTTTTTTCCACACTGCAAGCCTATTTCTGAAAATCCCATCCCATGTCACTATGGCAACGCTGACACTGTTACTTGAAATCAAGAGGTAACACTACCAACACAAATTAAATGAATTTGCTAAGTTCACCAAACTCTTAAACACTTGCATTTGTAACAACTAGAAGAGAAAAAAAAAATGCATGAAAATGCCAAGGAGATAAAATCCTAATGGTAATACATCCTTTTCACTATTCAGCCCTTAAGCTAAGCATTTAGTTAGCTTAATTAGAAAAAAATAATTTGTTGATGTTTTTCTCATTCCACAACTCATACAAGAAAAATCTACCCAGAGTCAACTGTTACAACAGACAATAAAAAATGATGAGAACAGCTACATTTTGGTAAACACCAAGAATTGCTACCAGCCTCTCCAGAAGCACATCCTTCTAGCAAGTTTTAACAAAATCCTTGCCATCACTAGCAGAATTCTATACACAAATGACAAATTTGTTACCTTTTTTAAAATTAAAAAAAAAAAGGTTTACCAAAGAGCTGTCAGTAACGACTGCCAAGCTTTGATAGAGCTGATGAATGTAATACCACAGAGCCAAGGTCACACCTATCGTACTTAGCTCTCGCTACGTTCAAGTCTCTCTGAGCAATCACAGTCGGAAGGGCTGCATCCTCCCAACACCTTGAGAACTGCAAACCAAGCAGAAATCACATCACTGCCACCTCAATATCCCCCCAGGGACAGTGGTGTAACACCGCACCAACGTGATGCCGAGTGGCAGCGCTTCCGTGAACACCCCAGGACAAGCATGCAGTTTGAACACCACACTCACAGGTATGCGGTCTGCCAAACAGCAAGCGAGTTCACAGCCAAGCCACAGCCACTCACTACCTATTAGGATTCAACTCTGTTCTCTCTTTGCTATGTATTCCCAGGATCTACTTCACCACAGAACTGCAGGTTTGAATCTTTTTGACTGATGCTCGTGTTCAATGACAATTTGTGTTCTCCTAACCTCGGGACACCACCAGAAAAGGCGCACAATCAAACCAAGTCCTTCAACACCCAAAAGCAGCTCCTTGTTCAGTCTTTTTCTAAAAGAGGGCAGGCTGAGCAGCACGAGACCTTGACACAGATTATCATTTCAAAGTGTGTTAATAAACATAAGCCTACCATGACATTCTCCTAACATTTTCCACAGCATAAATGGTAGAAAAAAAAAAAAAGTCATTTTTCTTGCTAACTGCCCTTTATCTTTTTACATACAGGTTCGATTTTGTCCTTGGTGGTATTTGTTAACATATAGTGGCCCAAATTAATGACTGATGTATGGCATGGGTATAAACCATATTATACCAAGACAGCATGACAATGCAGCTCGACACCATGAGCAGGAACTGGAGGATGAGAGCTACACAGCCTGCACCAGCGGTCTGCCGAGCAGGGTGTGCACACAACAGTCTGCTGGGGCACCTGAAGAAAATATTAAAACTTCAGTAGTACCCATATCTAATTCATTAATAAATACACATATATTAGGGGCTCAAAAATGTATTACTGATGAGGCGTGTCATCAAAAGCATGTGGAGACCACCAGCACAGGCTCTTCAGGATGGACTCGCTCCTGGATTTGGGTCAGCCACCCACAGGGCCCCCACAACAGCCCCTGCCAGAGACAGCTGGGGCAAGACAGCCACTGGGGCACGCACACGGTCCTGCAGCCAGCTCTTACACTGTGTCCTAACAGGTACCTAATTATCATCAACGCAGTTCAACAGTGTCGTTTTTTTAATTTAAATACAAAGTTCACTTCATCGTAACTAGGACAAACTCAGCCCTGCTGGTGCATCCAGCTAATATACCGATAGCAATCCTTGCTAATTAGCAGTCACAACCCAACACAGATATCCCCTGTAACTTGTTATTCACCAGGCCTCTGCTATTTTGCTTACATGCCCCTGGTACTGGAGGAAGGAGAACAGAGCGCACGCTTCCACTTGGGTCACCTGGCACCAGGAGGAAACACGCTGCCTGCTTGTAACAACATCCTGACTGATTTGTAGAAAATAACCAAACTTTTCCTTATCGCACGCCCCTGAACAGATCATAAAGTACGCAAAAGTAATAAAGCTGACAATGAACTACCAGCCACACGGGTCAGTCCTCTGAGGGGCTGCTACTGCATGGTCTGAAAGCCTCCCCCTTCCAGCCAGCCCTCTAATCTAAAACGCAGCACAGACCAAGAAGCAGCCCCGCACCCCTCCTGTTCACTTTCCCCAAGTCAGCTCCAGGCATCCAAGAGTCACTGGGAACAGAAAATTGGTCTGACAAAGTACATCGATCTGCTTCAGCTTGGATTAGCTTCCCGATTGGGTTCTGGCCTGTCACAGGGCTACCAGATCACTTGTGAGGTCCCACCTGAAATACTGCGTCCAGTTTCGACCCCCGACTTTCAGATAAATGCAAACCCAAGAGTCCAGCCGAGCACCAACACAATACAAGGGACCTGGAGCACAGCACCAGGGAAGTCCTCCCAAGGGAAAGGGGTTTTCTCAGCCTGGCCAGGCAGAGGCTGCGTGCAGCCTGCCACTGGCTGAGGGGCACTAAGAGCAGCTGAGGCAGCCTCTTCTGCCCAGGGCAATGCAGCACGACCTGTGGGGCTTCCAACTGCATGTAAGGAAAAAAGAAATTCACAAACGAGAAGGCTCAAGCACCACAGCTGTGGAATTACAGTCCTTGGCTATTTCCAAAACTCACGTGGGCCTGACCAACCCAGCCTAGCCTTGCAGCGAGCGCTGCTTACAGCAGGGGACAGGGCCGAATAACCTGCCCACGGTCCTCACCAGCCCCAGTTCTTCATCACCGTGCTACACAACCCAAAGTACCCTGCAACACACACGTTTTTTATAGCCTGCACGGTCATTACAAATGGTTTGTCCAGAAACAGCCAAACTAAACTACTCATAGGTACTTCATAGACCGTACGCTATTCTTAACACAGAAGCAATGGCAGAAGTGTTTGGGGGAGGCAGAATGATGCAAAATATGAATCCCAAGAAAGTTTAAACACTTAATTTTTCACAAGGCCCATCATCTTTAGTTGGTCACGAGACACAGATAACCATTTCTACTCTCCCTACATTTCTAAACCTTCCACAGCCCTACAGAGTGCAGAGAAATGCCAGGTACAATCCTGGGCAGCGACCCAAAAGAACCCCTTCCCCAAAACCTGGTGCCAGTTGCTGACATTTCAATACATTTCACTATTATACTAGACATTAAGGCAAAACCACTGTAACTACTTGGCTTTAAATTCACTCCAATTATCTTAACGCTTGTCACAAAGATTTTCCTTTCTCGAAGTCATTTGTAACTTCGTTACCAACTTCATGCATAATTTCACACACAAAGCCGTAAAATATCATCTTCGTGGTTTGTAAAAATCCTAGAAGAGTGGTTACTACAGAAAGGCATCATTTAGAGCAGTAATTCTCTGAAGTGTGATATCATCAACATCAAAACTTGGTAAGCCACAAGTAAATTTATTTATCTGTAAAACCACTGTAAAAAGAAATCAACGAACTCACAACTTGCTTGCAACTCCATGGTATCGGTTCCTGACTGGCAGCACACTGGCCCATGAATTTGAGAGTCAACGCTGGCATTTGGAAATCGTTTTAAAACAAGGCAATGACTGCTGTAGCTACAGCTTTATAGTGAGAGAGAATTCAGACAGCGTAAAGCAATGTACTTGGTAGCTACAGAAACCATGGTCCAAGTTAGGAGATAGCCTAATCCTCACAGGTTCCCTAAGACTTTGTACACCACCACTCAGAGAAACTCTAAAGCAATCTCCATTATTTACAGTAATTATAATACAACTGAGCCATGAAGTTGTCTGTACTGTTGTGTTGTTCTACACCACTTCCCAGAATTACAATCTACAGCCCCAACATGAATAATTTCACTATAAATAGCTGGAGAAATAAACTGTCACCGTAAGAGTAATCATCATCAGAATAACGAAAATAAAAGAAGAAATCAAACTTATGGTAATATCCACTGTAGAGAACAGCACTGTAGTGAACTAAATTTCAACATCAAATGTATGACACTTGTATCCCTTATCTTCTTTTTGAATAAAGATAGAAGGTAATTCTACCAAAGACAAACATCCTCCCCTTGTTAATCACATGAAAGAGACCATGGCGGCGTTATGACTGATGCTGCATCGACTGCAGAGGCAAAATGCCCGGGTCTGAAGTCCTTCCCTCACACAGATTTCCATCACACCTCCCACTAGCAGTGCCAGTATTCTGAGGGTATAAAATCAAACCCTTCTTAACATGTATTTTGTTCTTAAATCTCAAGTCCACGCTATTTGGAACAATCTAGTACCTTGCAAACTGGGCGATTTCAGTCTCTTAACTAACCAAGCACGTTTGAAGATCAGCTTAAGGGCTGCTCGCCACATCCGGCCCTTTCAAGAAGCTGATTTTTACCCAAACAGAATACAAAAAACAATTACGAAGAGCTATTTTCACTTCCCCTCTCTCAGTGTAAAAAGTTAGTGCACCAGAATAATGACGCCTTACTCAACGAAAAACAGGCAACTGCTGAAAATCTTGATTGCAAATACAAATCCCTCACATTTTACTCAGGCAAGAAGACGATGATCAGAAAGTTGTCATTTCAGGGCAACAGGAACAAGAAAGCAAAATAAATTTCTAAAATGTATTTTACAAAGCAAAAGGGCTCAGCAACTTTCTTATAAACCACACAGTGCTTATATCCTATAACATACATATTTCTTATGAATACTCTCCCTTCCAAAGTAAACAACAAAAAGCAACTATTATGTATTTGCAAAATCTACCAGGAACTGTACTCTAAAGAAAAACCAACAAAGGAAAAAATTTGGGATCCTAAACTAGTACCAGAATGCAATTTGCAAGTGTGGACTTTCTCAAGATATGAAAACATGGTTTCATTCCAGTATTGTGAACTGGGGTAGTACTTTGCAGATGAAGACACAATGCTTGAAAATCAGCTGCGGAGGCCGGAGCTTAAAGCACTGCTATTCTCAAAAGCCTTCTGTATGTGACACTATGGTAGGAAAATTGTAATTTTAAATATTCAGAAGAACAATGTACTACCTCCCTGTGATGAACTATTCCAAAACAGGCGACTCGGATAGGCCACTCAGGACTCGGATAAATAGCAGCACTTAGGAAACACGTAAGTGCTACCACCTCTTCTGAACTCAGTGACCTACACAACAGCACGCATCCCCACGGTTTCTGGGACCTGGCAGGAGACGAGCAGCTGAAAGGACGGGCAGGGTTTTATACAAGTGTTAAATGCCAGCTCTGCATACAGAAGGGCAAAAAAAACACACACTAAAGCACAGCAGTGTGCACAATAGGCTGTTCATTCATCCCGTAAATTTGATTTCCCATTATCATACCACAAAAAATCATTCTTGATTTGAGTTTGGCAAACACCTTAAGGTATTCAGGCTTCCAAGAACAAGTGGTATTTAAATGTATGAAGAAAAAATGGGAATGTTCACTTCAGCTGCTAGCAGTGTGTATGATAGGGAAAATTAATCCAGCCATAGTCAAGCACTCTGGCTATATCCATGAACCCCCAGTGCAGCTGGCCAAAATCTGTTTTCCCTCAGACACACATTACATGTTCAGAAGTGAATTTCTCATTTATTTGATCCAAATTTTTCCTAGGGCACCCAGAGCTTTTCCTGCCAACACCACACTCCTGACAAGGCTTTCACCTGAAACCAGATTCTCAAAACAACACGGAGAAAATCCAGAGTAACTCATAGTCTGGAGGTCGGGCTGCTTGCCAGCCCCACAGGACCCACAAGGTTGCGTGCTCCGCTCAGCCCAGTGGGGACTATCCTCATCGCCATGCTGTTCCCTACTTGGGGCTCCATCTTCTGAGCTGCTCCAGCACCAAGAGTTCTTTCAACATTTGTAAAACATTTGGGAACTCCCTGGCATCGTCCCACGAGAGGAAGAGGAGGAGGCATACTACTGCCCCTAACTGAAGTTGACCGGAGATCGCTATGCCTCTCAGTTACTATGTTTGGGAAATCAACTGGATCTCAAATATGATAAACTGACAGATGTGTAACAAATTCAGCAGCACAGTCCATAACACTGCCCCCAAATCACACTGGTCACGCTGCAAATCTTGTCCCTCTTGAAGCCAATGGAGATTTTGCAGCCCATGTCAGTGGGCCAAAGATTTTCTTCTGTAGTCAACATCTCAATAAATTCAAGCTTCAATACTAGATCCTGAAAATCCCCACCAAGAACAAGCTCACAGTAAAATCACCGTGAGTTACACTGGAGCCAGGGCACACGATCAGCCCTCACAAAAAGGATCCGTGTCCTGCAGTGAGGTTAATTCACTGGGAGTTCATTAACGAACTCCTGCCTCCACCCCTCCTTCATACCTCCAATTAAAGAAATGTGGTTGTATTAAGTTTTCACAGATTTGCCCATTCCTTCTTTCCCTTTCGCTAACCACTTCCTTACTCAAAGTAACATCAGAAACGGCTGGAGCATTTTAGAACTACTGCAAGTAAAGGAGTTAAAGGAACCAAACTGCCAGTCCATTTGTGCTAGTTGATACTTTTTAATTTTGTCCAAAAGTTCAGCGACTCTCCATTAAAACAAACAAATTACAGACACAGCAGATGGCTTTTCCACAATGAAAGTGAACATTAGAAAATAGAGATCCGCCTGTTCATTTAATTACGTGATCTTCTTTAAAAAAATTATCAGCTAAAGTCTCAGTGTTCACGCATTTACATTGATATGAGGGCTCTGCCAATGCTGTTGATCCCAGCTTTATAGCTCCAACAGTGAATTTTGCTGGTTTTCCTCTATTGCAAGAAAACAAAACGTTTGTTTTTTTGCAGACAATTCCCATGCCTGTGCTGGACAGATTATGTCACCGTATAAAAACCTTCCAACCGCAGATGCAGCTTATTGCCGCAGAACGACTAGAATAAATTATCCCAAGTCTCTGAACAGAATGAACAACATCATCAGAAAGGCTGTTATACCTGGACCAGACGTGTTACTCAGACACGGATGCCACTCTTTCACACTCCCACTGCTACACCTACATTAAAAAGTACCAGCCATTAGGCTTATCGTAAGCGTAACACAGCAGGAAAGGCACAATCACTGACCACTACAGCCCCATTGTAAAACATAACCATAGTTACGCAGACACAACTTTCTTCCTGGAATCCACGTGGAAGTACACCAGCAAAACTCTGAAAATACATCCAGGGTGTAACACCCAAGCAGCATACCACCATGGAGTTACCTGCCAAGATCTTCAACTCTGGATTAAGTATGCTTCACATGTACAGAAAGCATCTTTTCAGTCACAGAATCATTAGGGTTGGAAAAGCCCTCCAAGATCATCTGGTCCAACCATCCCCCTACCACCAATGTCACCCACTAAACCATGTCCCTAAGCACCATGTCCAACCTCTCCTTGAACACCCCCAGAACGGTGACTCCACCACCTCCCTGGGCAACCCGTCCCAGTGCCTGACTGCTCTTTCTGAGAAGAAATGTCTCCCTCATTTCCAACCTGAACCTCCCCTGGCACAACTTGAGGCCATTCCCTCTAGTCCTATCACTAGTTATCCTGCAAGAAGAGGCCAACCCCCAGCTCCTCACACCTTCCTTTCAGGCAGTTGCAGAGAGCAATGAGGTCTCCCCTGAGCCTCCTCTTCTCCAGACCAAACAACCCCAGCTCCCTCAGCCGCTCCTCACAGGCCTTGTGCTCCAGGCCCTTCACCAGCTTCGTAGCCCTGCTCTGGACACGCTCCAGGGCCTCGATGTCCTTCTTGTAGTGAGGGGCCCAGAGCTGAACAGAGCACTCAAGGTGCGGCCTCACCAGAGCAGAGCACAGGGGGACGATCACCTCCCTGCTCCTGCTGGCTGCCCCATTCCTGACACCACCAGGATGCTGTTGGCCTTCCTGGCCACCTGGGCACACTGCTGGCTCATGTTCAGGTGAGCATCAATCAGCACCCCCAGATCCTTTTCCTCTGCACAGCTTTCCAGTCACTCTGCCCCAAGCCTGTAGGGCCATGTGGGGTTGTTGTGGCCCAAGTGCAGGACCCACACTTAGCCATGTTGGACCTCATCCCACTGGCCTCTGCCCATCGACCCATCCTGTCCAGGTCCCTCTGCAGGGCCTTCCTACCCTCCGGCACATCGACGCTTCTCCCCAGCTTGGTGTCATCGCAAATTTACTGAGGGTGCACTCAATTCCCTCATCCAAGTCATCAATGAAGACATTAAAGAGGACGGGCCCCAACACTGACCCCTGGGGAACACCACAGGTGACCGGTCACCAGCTGGATGTCACTCCGTTCACCACCACTCTCTGGGCCCGGCCCTACAGCCAGTTTTTACCTCAGCACAGAGTGTGCCTGCCCAAGCCATGGGCTGCCAGCTTCTCCAGGACAACACTGGGGGAGACCGTGCCAAAGGCCTTGCTCAAGTCTGGGCAGACTACGTCAGCAACCTTTCCCTCACCCACCAGGCAGGTCACCCGGTCATAGGAGATGAGGTTGGTCAGGCAGGACTTGCCTTCCATGAAGCCACGCTGGCTGGGCCTGATCCCCTGGTGGTCCCACATGCTGTATGACTGCACTCCAGATGAGCTGTTCAATCTCCTTTGCTGGCACCAAGGTGAGGCTGACAGCCCTGTAGTTCCCCAGGTCCTCCTTACGGCCCTTCTTATAGATGGGTGTCACATCAGCAAGTCTCCAGTCATATGGGACCTCTCCAGATGACCATGACCACTGATAGATGATGGAAAGCAGCCCAGCAATCATACCCACCAGCTCCCTCAACACCCTTGGGTGGATCCCATCTGGCCCCAAGAACTTGTGGCAGTCCAGGTGGAGCAGCAGGTCTCTGTTTCCACCTGAACTGTGGGGGGTTTCTTCTGCTCCTCATCCCAGACTTCCAGGTCAGGAGGCTGAATACCCCGAGGATAAGTGGTCTGGATGGCTAGTAAAGGCATGCAAAGAAGGCGTTAAGAACCTCAGCCTGTTCCTTATCCTCAGCAGTCAGGTTCCCCTCTGCATCCAGTAAAGGATGGAGTTTCTCCCTGGCCCTGCTCTCACCGTTGATATATTTGTAAAAACAATTTTTGTTATCCTTAACCACAGTGGCCAAGTTTAGCTCATGCTGGGTTTTAGCCTTCCTGATTTTTTCTCTGCATATGCTGGCAACTTTCTTGCACTCTCCTTTTTGAGGAAATACACTAGTACAACTGTTTTGGCTTTGGTGTTTATTTTTTTTTCTGAGTACAATTAAACTAAATAAATAAACTCTCCTGAAAAAAAGATGCTGGCAGGGGAGGCAGGAAAAATGCACTTCTGTAGGGGTGACATAACTATTAAGATACAGCAGAACCATACCTGTCAAGTGCACTACTACATAGCCCTGACCTCACCTAAGGCCACAGACATGCTGAGTATTTGTAACTCAAGAATACAGGAATAACATACCACACAAGCCCTCACAGTAAGGACACAGTCAGAATATGTTTAATATGTAACAGTATAACACTAGTGAAGCCAAGGTGCAGCGAAAAAGCACAACTGGGCCAGGGCATCAACATGGTGAGCTTCTCCATTCCTCAATCAACACAAGCAAGCTAAGAGAAATGCAAGGTGCTATCTGAAACAACACAAAATAAAAACAAGCCAACAACACAAAAAAGATTTTAAAGGTTAGACCCGACCGAAGAAATATATGAGGTCTATTATTTTTGTATATATCTAAATTCTACCTTCCAAAGATCGCAACTCAAGATGAAGAACACTTTTCACTTTAATGGAAGCATGTCAGAACAGAGCGCATACCTGGTTGTTTGGCAAGTATTATATACTGGAAGAATACACACTCAGCCATTTTTAATCACATTTTTGTCAGTTTCCTCGTTACTGTCACACATTAATGAAAATTCCACACAATCAGCAAGTCATTAGTGCATATTACAGGAATTTTATTGTATAAAAATATACCACCATTAAAAAAAAAAATCACTCCTATCTTACTCCCAAGACTACTGTTCGCAAAAACACAAAATAATTGCTTCAAGGTAAACATCATGTATTAAATATTTCTGAAGTATGTAAGCAAATACTACACTCCACACATAGATTTTTAACCAAATTACTGGTTAAGGGTTTTTGACAGGTGTGTCATTAAGAGGGAAGAAAAAAAAAAAAAAAAAAAACTAAGACACTAACAAGGTTGTTCTTACGACTTTAGAAAAGAGTTTGTCTGTAGGCAACTTTTTCAGAGTATTTCAAGCAGTAAAATGTGTATTTCACTAGAAACACAAATGAAAATCCTTCAACACCAACAGGTGGAGGATTGAATCCCAAAGGAAAAAAAAAAATAAACAAATAAACCTCCCACTTCCTTCAGAAATGAGCAAGAGGCATGGGGAAGCCCTTCTATAATGTGTCAAAAAGCATAAATGTAAGAATTAAGCAAGCATTCCACACTCCTTAGTGGGCTCAGCATGAGCTGGTCTGGCAGCATCCTTGCTGTTCCTGAGCTGTGATGTTGCTGGTAAGCACCACAACCATCGATCAGATTGTACAGAAACGTGTTAAAAAAAAAAAAAGAGAAGTTTTGATCAAAAAATATAAGGCTATTTGCAACAGTCTCCCTGAGAAACCTAATAAAATGGTGCTGCCACATTCAAATTGTTTGGAAAATAAATGTAATTTCTGGGGGAGCAAAAAAAAAGGAGCAATAAAAATTTTGGATGGCAAGTTATCAGCCCTAGCCAAAAATTAAAAATAAATAGATAAGTAAAATAAAGTAAGTGTTGTCCAATCACTACAAAGTTACTTGCCCTTGATTTTTTGCAGACATTTTTGAAGGTGTTACGAGCTCTTTTATGATGATTACTTTGCTGTACGCAGTATGTTAGAGCATTTTATAGAGATGGGTTTCTTAACGGTATCGCACAATGTTGGGCATCAGATCATCAGAAGGGTTGCCCTTTGAAAAGGTTTGACCTTTTTTTCCCTTTATAAACCCTGAATGCACCTCAAGAAACGTGGATGTTACCCCAGCAGACCGAACTAGAGCGCTGCTTGCAGCAGAGCCCCTGACAGGCGAGGCAGGGCGGCTGAGGAGGGCAGGACGCGAGCAGAGCTGCGCGAGAGGAGCGCAGGGCCCGTCTCCAGCAGACCTCTGCCCACAGGAATCCTCCTTTGTGCCCGCCTCGACGCGCACAGCCTAGAATCCCTCACCAAACCCAGTTCATCAGTATCGTAAGGAAGGAAAAAAAAAAAAGCAGTTGTGGGATGTGGGGGAGAGGCTTTCCCTGCCAGAGACAGAGAGAAACGGCCCGGGAGAGGCGCGCCGGCAACGCCCCTCCACGGCGCAGCGACCAGCGGCGAGGGCCTTAAAATGGCGCCCGTGGGGGAGGAGAGTCACGGCCAAACTGCGCAACAAACGCTGGCAGGCAGCCAGACAGCGCCATCTTCCCGCCTCGCTCCCACTCCCACACGCACCGGCAGCCGCTCGGCACCGGCTGCCAGCCGAGCCCGGGCACCGCCGCCCCGGCTGCCGGCCGCCCTCTGCCCCGAGCCGGCCTCCCTTCAGCCCCGCTGAGCCCCGAGGAGACGAGAGCAAGCGGCTGGCGGCGGAGAAGCAGGGGAAGGGAAAGGAAAGGCCTCGGCGTCTCTCTCCTTCCCCCGCTGGTTATTTAATAGCAGCCCCAAGTAAATTTTAAGGCGTCTTCTGGGCGCCGTACGCTTTTTGCCCGGTTTTTCACGTTAGCAGATCGCCATGATCCGTAAGTGAATTTTACAATGGGTAGGAAAAGCAAATTAAAACCGGGCACTCAGTAACACTTCCCATAACGCAGCAAAAGGGAGCTCCGAGGACTGCAGAAAATCCCCTCCGCAACCCACCAGCCATTGGTTTTATCCACAAGTAAAAAAATACTTATAAAACGCTTGTTCTCCTGCGGAAGACAAACGCAGCCAGCACAAATAAACAGATCCGCATCTACCCAAAAGGAAAACCAAACGGGTTACTCCAGAAAGAGGCGGTTTATTGTTACGTTTAAATAGCCACATTACAGTTAAATATTCTCTCTCTGGAAAAAAATAAAAAATAAAAATAAAAAAATAGCACTACTAAAGACACCGCGGCAGACTCGATCCCGAAGCGGAGGAGCAAGCGCCTTAGCCCAGACCTACCGCCCAAGCCTTTCGCGCACACACAAAAAGGAGCGCCGTCTCCATTCCGGGTTTAAAAGCGGGAGGCACAGAGCAATTCAGAGGAAATTGCAAATAAAGAACCAAACAAATCAAATCAAATCTAGTGGCGGCACCGAAAACGAGGAAACGAGTGAAAAATAAATCCCCAGAAGGCACAAATCTGAGACACGAGCTCAAAGAA